TGCATGACTATATCTTTTATACATACATATGTACATGTAAGTGTATGATTTATTGTGTATTTATAAAGAATTCGAACAATAGGATCAAATGGAGATGAAAAATATTTGAAATTTTTTTTTTTGTTTCAATATTAGTTTACCATTAAATTTAAGAGCGTTTTAATTCGACCATAATACTTAGAAATTTTACATTTAATATTTTTCTTTCTTTTTTTTCGTAGTTTAGAAACTATTTAAGGTAATTGAATATTTCGATTCAGATTTTTATTAATATAGTTTATAAAATATGCATATATTAATAATGCTATTAATGTGGTTGTTCATGGTAATTTTATAATTTTATAAATTAATATTAAAGGTTTTTGTCTTCAATATTAAGTTAATTAAATTGTATATGCGAAAATAAATAATTAAATTTAATTAAATTATGTAATTAAATGTTCATTAATATAAAGTGAAATATGAAATATGTATATGTTTATGTTCCAAAAAATGTAAAAAATAAATATAGGAATTAATTAATTTAACATGCATAAATAAGAATAAATAAAGAACTTGCAAGGGGCCACCGTAGTTTACTGACAAACAGAATTATTTGTTATTAAAGTTTAATTACGTTGCATTACTATTTATTATGCTACTTTAAACTTATTTATGAGACTGTCCTAAATTTAAAAAAATCTGACCGTGAAAATATGCCGATTTTATGATGAAAATATTGATAATATTTCAGTATATTAAATTTAAAGTAAATGAGCCACAAATTTCAATTGAATTTTCAGTAATAATTATAATAATTAATAATAACGTAAGATTAAGAAAAAGAGTACCATTAAGCTGGAAATAAAATTTGATTGACAATTACAATTAATTAAATTAAAAAAAAAATTAAGAGCACCTTCAATCGACCTAAATAAAAAATAATTTTTGTTTTTTCTTTTCACAACATCAATTTAGTAAAAATTCTAAATTTAACCATGGAAACATATAAATTTCAATTAAATCTGTAAAAGTATGTGAATAACTAAATATAAATATAGTATATGACATGTTAATTAATGAAATAAAATGGAAAAAAAAAACCTAAAACCTCGTTTACTTAATTAGGTAATTGGAAATCAACTCTTTCATGAACATATTCAATCGTTATACCATAAAAGAAGTTAAAGACAACAAAACGCAGAAAAAAAAATACCTACCATAAAATTCATTCTGAAATTAAGTGATAATCAAATACTAAATATAAAACTAACCAACTTACTTACCAAGCAAAACCTGTAAAGTAGAAAAAAAAAATAAAAAACAAAATAAAAAATGAAATAAAAAATTTGAAAACAAACTAAAAACTTTGAAAGTAAAAGTTGTTTATTACTTTATCTATGTATGTATTAGGTGTGTGCTTTTATATACTTCTTCACCTCCCCTTTTATATTGTCCGAATGTTGCAACTGTTAAAGAAAGATAAAAAAAAATTCTAATAACAAAATGCTTAATAAAAAATCATGTTTACTTTTAAATTCTAAACAATAAAAAAAAGAAGCAAAAAATAGGCAAGAGAAAAAAAATAAAGAAAACAAAAGCGAAATTTCGTTATAGAAAAAAAAACAAAAGCAAGGAAAAAATTAAAATTTATTTATTGTGAACTTTATAATAAGAAAAACAAAAGACTTAAGTAAGAAACTTGAAATTTTTTTCTTAATACAGTTGAACCCGGATAAGGGTGCTCGGATAAGAAGGAGACTTGGATTAACAATGTCACTTTGTTCTATTTGAAAAATTATTTCTTACAATTTAAAAATTTTTGTTTAATTTTTTCGCTGTACTCGTATGTTTTGTACATTTTTACTCATACACGATCGAATCCCTAGACTTTATTTTTCTTAAAAGCACCAATAGAATCTCTTAATAATTTTAAAAAACTTATACAAACAGAATGAAAATCTCAATTGAGTTAAGTTTCTCTTATCTAGATTCGACTGTATTTATTTTTTTTATTGATTGAATTGTATTTTTATATTGTCAATTTAATTTTAATATATATTGTTATTACTATGAGGATAAATGAGAAATCAATATTAAAATAATAAGGTATAAAAAATATCATACAATTTTATGATACAAAATTTTAAGACCGTACACAATATTATGTATTTATGGTAGTTATAAATGCACATATATAAAAAATCTCTATAATATGCATTTACTATCCCCTCAATCAATAAATATTTATTGTAATTTATGATACTGGAAAGAGATTGAATTTAAAATAAAAATTGTGAAGAGAAAAGTTAAAAAAAAAATGTAGTTTAAATTAAAAAAATATTGAATGATAACTATAAGATAAGAAATTTTAATAAAACAAAATGTAATTCTTAATTAGAATGTAGATTCGCGGTTTCTTATATTGTAGAAATAATTTACAGGAGATTTATTATTGATTAAATGTAGTAAAATTGTACTGTATTAAGTCTAGCGTAAATTTTCCTTTTCATAATAGTTGCTGGTGTTCTATCTTTAGGAATAGTATAATAATATTATAATAATTTTGAATATTTCTAAGGTCATTCGAGTTGTAGTAATGTAATGGTCACCCTACATCACAAATGAAAATGAATCTTTATAAAATCGTATGAGTCTTATTACCTTACCGATTGTGAAAACGACTTCCTAAACATAAAATTTATTTTAAACAAATAAGAGATAAATATATCCTATATACTCGTATGTTAGGTTCATCTTGTTCCCAATACGAGGATATGTTAGATTAGTTTAGGTTGACATGGCTTCTCCTAAGGATACATTAGGCTCGTTATGATGTCACCAGATTCATCCTCCCCCTCCTTCTCTTCATTCGAACCAATTTGAATTTCTGAGAAAATGATTAATGTCAGTACCATTCACATTTCCCGAGTCTGTAGACCGCTGAAAGAAGTGGAACCTAGGAAATTTCTCCCTGGAGTTTCTCAATGCAATAGATTTTAATAAACTAACTCTTTATTTAGTCGTGGCTCGATTAACTTTAAAAACATCATTTAAGAGTAAATTAATATAAATTTCATGATAATTTTACAATTATTTTTCACTAACTTCATAATTATAAATTTCGAGTTTAGGTCTTTCTATATATTTAGGATATTAATTTATCAAAAAATTTTCATAAATTAAAGAAAAAATATCGAATTCGTCACCATAAATCTCCGAAAAATGCAAAAAAATAAAAATCATAATCAAAATAACCATAGTTAAGCAAAAAATATTTTTAATAATGCAACTACAATCAAACTACAATTTATTGCACAAGTGAAACTACATATAATTTTATAAACTCGGCTACCATTTGCTTTATTTGTTTATTATGTTTACTGGTTGTTGTTGTATTTATACATAATTAAGCTTGTATTTACGTAAATTGCATTAAGTAGCAAGGCAGTTTTGCGTATGAATAAAGTTTATGCGTATATGCGTATAAAATGTAATTTTTTTTTGTTAACAGTCTATTATTAGAATAGTTAGTAGTGGTTTTACTACAAAATATGCATTATATTAGTGTGTTGCTTTAATATTATTCAAGTTTTGTAATTCTTTATAGTGCATATTACATCAAAATTAAAGATTAATGTTGGTAGATTTTGGTTCAGGTGTTCAAGTATTAAATAGAAATTTTTTATTTAAATCAGATATTTTGTTTTATTTCACGAAACTTTAATGTAGAATCGAGAATAATATGAGCTAAACACTATTGGTCGTTAATAATATGTCGAAAAAAATAATTTGTGGAAAAAAATAAATTCTGATATAATTTTTGTAATTTATGAACCTTGCGGTAAATCTAGTAACATTTAATTTATTTGCATTAATAATTCAAAAATTCTAGTAAACTCAATGACGTAAGAACGTGTGTTCACGATAATATCGTGTCATCACCAGCCCTATGCTCCCTCCAGGAACGAAGTAGGAATAAAAAAAAACAATTCAAAATTAGAATTTATGAAATATAGGGTGCAGGTAGTGTATTGACATATACCGGCGTATAGATATTCGATATTAAAGCAAAACATTGTTTGACAATAGGCCTTCCGATTAAAATCGTTTTAGACCACAGGATAAAAGTTCTTTTTTTTTGGTGATTTTATTGATTGTCCAAAACTCTTCCAATTTTTTTTAATTTATTTTTGTATTTAGGTAATTAAGCGACTCATTTCAAGTCAAGTGAACGGCAATTAACTTCTCCTTATGAACGCGAAGAAAGTATTTTTAGAAAAAAATCGGTATATTTTTGTTAGGATTTTTGAAAGATGTTCATATCAGGCAGTCCATTCCTCTAACTTAGTTCCGGTTAAACCTTTTCATGGACGTTATGAATACATCAATTTTTGCGAAATATTGATTTCTTATTCTGCCGGAAAATTAGATTTTTAGTCATTTAATTTTTATATTTACGATTTGTTTGTAAACTTAAAGAATTTTTTACAAGCTAAGTTTAAAATTTTTGTGATAATAATCAAAGGATCTTACGTAACCTATATACTAGATAAAACCAACAGTCGATGTTTTTTTGTCTTTAAATCACTAGCGTTATAAGTTCATTAACAATATTTAAAACATCTGTCTTTAATCAATAATCATAAAATTTTATGAAAAGCAAATACAAATTTTATTGCATTAATATTAAAAAGTTAAAGAAATATTTATAATATAAAAAGAAAACAAAAAAACAAAGTGAAACAAAAAAAAAAAACAAGAGTGGTGTATACATGATGGTGGTGGTGGTTTTTTGGTAGCTTGTAGTTTATGAATGATTATTAATATTATTTTGTCGTTCCGTATTATACTTGTAGTTTTTGTTATAACCATTATTACTAATCAATGTTTCTTTTTAACTGTAATGGATGTTGTCGTCGTTTTGCTGCTTTAACTTCTTTTCATTTTTCTTTTAATGAGTGTAAATGGTTTTGTTTTTGTCTTTAATTTAAAAATTTTTTGGGTAGTAGTATTCGCGATTTACACCTCAAAACAACGTTAAAGAAGCGGTTTAATTTTTTTCAATAAAAAAAATCTTTTTTTTTTTTTTTTGTAATTTAAATTTTTGTAATATTTTAATATTTTTTGCTTTTTCGTTCACATATTTTATTTTTAATATAAATAGTAGGAGAAGAGAAGACGAAAACGCGATACTGGAAAAAAAAATTTTAAGGTTTTTTGTTTTTGTATTTTTAACTTGAATTACGTATACATTTAAGTGACTTATGTGTGTGTGTGTGTTTGTGTATATCCGTTGATTGATAACGTTCATAACAGTTATATTTTAAGTAGAAGACAAAAAAAAATATAAAAAATTGCTGTTTTTTTTTTGTTATTTGTTTTCGTGCATGATTGGATTACGAATATTTTGCGTAAATTTTATTCCTCTACTACTTTTTTGTTTTTTTTTTTTTTGTTTCAGTGTAATTTTAATAAAATTTTTTGTTTTTTTTTTTGGATTAAATTTTGAATTAAATTTTGTGTTCATTTTAAAATAAATATTAAAAAAGTAAATATTAAATAACAATATAGTGATTATAATTAATTTAATAATCAATAAAATTTTTGATGAGCTGTAGAGAGAAAATAATGAAAAATGCATGAATAAAAATTAAAGTGTTGCCGTGTTTATTAAAAATAATTTTTTTTTTCTTGTTTTTATACATAGTGGAAAATTATTTAAGATATTTATATTAGATAAGTTTTTATTATCAATTCAAATTGACCATTTTATCTATAAAATTAAATTGAACTTTTTAAGTGTAACAACTATACTTGTCGTTTTAAACATACAACATAAATATTACAATTTAGGCTTAAGTTTTACAACACTAAAATAATATAGAGAGCATACAATAGAAAATAATAATATAAAATGTTTGAATGAAGCTTTAGTATTAGTATAACAGTTTAAAAAAAAATCAAAATAATATTATTATAAAAATAACAACAAATTAACAACTACTTGTATAATATTTTGAAGCTGTCAAGTTTTTCTTTTTATTTATATGCACATATACATACATGAGTACATGTTTTTAATTGGAAAATATCAAGATTTTCCACTAATTTCATTTTCATTTTTCAATTTTTCAATCATCTTATATACCTATATTTTTTTTTTCTAAATTTTATCATTACAGTATATACAACTTGCAAATACAACTATATAAATAGCTTTTGAATGTAAAAAGAAAAAGAAAAATTTTCCATTTTGCAAAATTTGCTTTTTTTGAAAATTAAACAAATACTTAGAGAAAAAAAAATTTTCATTTTTTAAAGCAGTAAAATTTTAATAGTTTTAATTTTAAGAAAAAAAAATATTATTTAGTTGCAAAATACCATTATACTTTAGAGAAAAAAAAAATAGAAGAAAAGAAAATTAATTATTAATAATTAAAAAATAAAAGAAAATTAAATTTCAACCTATAAAAATTAACTGAGTAATTGGATCATTTAACGAAGAAAATTTTGTTATTTTTTTGAAAATAAATTGGAATACATTTAAAATTGGTAAGTAAATGTGGTTGTTTTTGCTTTTGTATTGTTTTTTTTTTTAATATAAACTTATCACGAAATTCCAATTAGAAAATTCAATTTTGCATAGTTTTATAATAAAATTTGCTTTTCTTTTTGCTTAATCGTCATTATAAGCTATTCAAACTTTGAGTATAATGAGATTATTTTTGCCCAAGTGCTATTGTTATACAGAATTATTTAAGATTCCTGAAATTAATATGCTATACAACACAAATAATTTATAATTCCATTTAAATTTTAATATAATCAAGGATTTTTACAAAATTTTTAATAATCTATAATAAAGGGCCATCCAATTATTATCAGATTGGATTACAATTTATTTTAAAATGAAGACTAATGAAAATTAATGACCAATTTATTGAAAATTTCAAATAAATTTCATAATATTTAATATATCATTACTAAAATAAGACAACAAGCAAATATTTATTGTGAAATATTGTGAAAACCTAAAAAACCTAAATATAACAATATGTCAAAATTATGGCAGTAATAAATTCGAAATTTGAATGTATATAGAAAAGCAAAAAATGCATCTTACATACAAAGAGAAATAAATTACAATGAAAATGTTAAACTTTTAGAAATGATATTGTATAACAATAATTTCATATTTGTTTACGATAGAATATTAATATATGTCGTAAATATTATTATAACAAAAAAAAAATTGCATTTTTATACAGAAAGAAAATTTAATTTTCATTAAGTTTATAAAAAGCTAAAATTGTTAATATCTAATGGTATTAAGTATATAAAATTGAATTTAATATTGTTGGGGTTTTTATTTTATAATTAAGAATTTAAATTACAAAAGCTTATTAAAGTTTTATAGAATCAACTTTATGAAGTAGTCTTAAATAGATAGGGTTTCAAAAGATTAGTAATAGAATTGAAATTGAAATAGTATTTTAGGAAAATAATAAATTTATAGAATTTATTCGAGCTCATGTTTACCAAGTTTCACCAATAAATCAACTAATATACCTGTTTTTTTTCAGAAATTCTACTTGACTATTACTAATTTTTTAGAACTTGCAAAAATTATAATTTTTGTGAATAAGTTAAATTTTTTGCTATTATAATTTTTTTTATGTTGGGGATTTTTATTTGAATTTTTTTTTTGCAAATGAAAGTTGTTATAACATGCTTAATTACTTGAATTTTATATAAAGTGTGCGCACACAATAAAATAATAAAATTTCCTATAAAGGAATTTATTATTATTATTATTATATTTTTTTCGTATACAGTTGAATCATTTTAAAAGAGGTGCTATTTAGTATATAAGAATTTTCAAGAGCTACATTTATTGAACCGGATTTGGTACAATGTCTGAAATGAAATAGTATAATAAATGTGCATAATATACTTTATTTATATAACAGTAAAATTTTTAATTGCAATTAACGGTAAGAAACTTTTTGCTTTAAATTTACAATTACATATATAATACTTGTGTCATCTCATTAGTTTACTTCTACTTTATTCCGTTATACGATAATGAATATTGCGTGCATGACGTAAGACAGGTATTACTATAATATTGTAAAATATAAGTAATTGAAAAAAAAAATCTCACAGAAAAACTTCCCTTGAGTAAGAATACAAGTAAATTTTTATACAACTAAATATTCTTCAAATTTTATATATGTAATTAAAAGAATGACATTTTTCAATGAGTGATCTGAAATTAAAGTGAACTGTAATCAAAGTTTGAATATATATATGAGCTTGTTACTTTCACAAATATGTATTTTAAATTTGTAATACTCGTATATTCAGAATATTGCTAACGTATATATACTTACATATTATGGGTATTTAATAAAATATATTCGATTCCATGGGGCTGAAAATTAAATATTTCGTATGAGTTCATGAAATTTTTCAGCTTTTGATCAGTCAAGTAATTAATATTCAAAAGAAATTTGATCAAACAAGAATCAAGCGATTAATATTAAAGGAAAAATGAGGTGATTAATATTCAAAATTTAATTCTGATAAAAAAACACCTATAATATGTAGATTTTACTGTTTTTATTTGTGGACAGTTAGGATTTATTGTATATTATATATATACATATACATACGTATATATTTAAATATTAATATCGTTTTTTAAATAAAATAAAATCTGGATTGAATTTGTTGAATATTTTTATTAATGTTTTTTTTTTTATGTGTATGCATTATTTGTTTTATTTCTTCCTTTTTTCATTTTTGTGATTGTAAATTTTCAAGAAAATTTACCTTGATTTTTTTTTTTCTTGTAACTAGTTATATAAAACTGGTAATAAATAAAAGTAAAAATTATAGTGATATTTTTATAAATAATGATGATTATTTTAAATGATATTTTTTTTAATGATGTTAAAATTTTATATGGTATGTTTGAATTGGTCAACTGCATACTAAATTAAATGTACAAAGAAAATGAAGTATGCAATGGTAATTTAAAAAAAAAAAAAACATCGAAAAATTTTTTTCATGTTAATTTTCGTTTTGGTAAAATATTTTAAAATTCAAAAGTTTCAAGTGTGTTTAGAAAAAGTATATTAGCTTTTATAGTGTAAGTAGCAAATACCAGATGTTTAGGTCCTTCTAGTTCTTTGCCATAATTTTAATTCCTCAGAATTCTATGATTTTTATCGTACATGTTGTAGTTTCCAAAAAATTTCATTTATTACGTTAAAAAAATTTTAGGCATTAAAATTACAAACTGTTATTGGTGGTGGCATTAATACCTTATTTCGTTAATAATATTTTGTATTATAAATTGCATTCTGTTTTGCGCTCGAACTTTAGGAATATATTTCGGAATGAAGGTAGAAATAATTTTATATCTTTATTCACAAATGAATAAATGATTCATATTTTTATAACTATCATTATAATCAATACAACTTAATTTTCGGGGCTTAGTAGCAACAGCACATCGCTTTTTTATTCTAATTTTTGCATTAAATAATGCAAAATTATAATAAATTTAGATATGCAATTAATTACAATGAAACCAAACAGAGTCTAATTATTTATTTTACACTTATTACTTATTTATAAGTGTTACAAAATAGTGGATATAATTTGGAGTATGTCTGTTTTTTATCATGCTTTGTTGCTGGGAGAAGGGGTGGATTATATCGTGGGCAACCATGAATCAGTTTCTTGCGTAATTGGGCTTACCGGGTAGGTGAAGACACTGACATATAGTTTTTACTTTTAATTAAAAAAATATTATATTAATATTTATTGTTTTATTTTACTGGTTTATGATATTTAATATTGGATTACATGCAAACATGGTAATAATCATTAATATTAATTTTTTAATTAGTGTTGAAAATAATTAATATAGTTTGATCTGACCGGGCTTTGAACCCGAGACTCTTCTCTCAAGGGACCAGTGCAATAATCAATGCACCATTCATCAGGTCTAAATTTAAAGTATGTTACAAATTATTAATTTATTTTAATTCCATTTTTTGTCCTAGATTTATAAAATTTGTCCAATATTCAATTCAAATTCCAATATTAAATTCAAAAATAATGTAAGACAGCCCAATTTATTTGTGTTTTTTATTTCTTAACTATAACATCAATTTATTAAAAATGTAATACAATATTTATTACATATGTATATACTCTTAATACATACTCTTTGACAGTTAAGAAATGACATAAAATATATTACAAATATTTTATAAATTTATTATTAAAATTTATTTTAAAAAACTCCACATTATTTTTTAAAATATTTTTAGTTACACAATATTAATAATGACATATTTTGAAACAACTAATTAACAATATTTTATGTAGTATAATTATACATATATATTATATACACATATATGTATATATATATCAAATTAATTTCAAAACATTATTACCACAAAATTATAATAAACTATCAAATTTTATATGCTAATTATTTTCATCTCATTATTGAAGAAGAGAGGCGAATACAATTAATTTTTTTGTTTTTTTTTACTGTTAACAGTCAAGTAAATTTGGTTTTAATTATAACTGTGTAGATAATGTCATGACACTTACAATAGATAAAAGACGAATCATAAAATTTGAAATGTAAAAATTATGTAATAACGTATAATAATTTGCTATAAAATGAGATTATGAAAAAAGATTATATTGTAAATCTATGTAATTGCAACTTATTTTTTATATTTTAATTAAGTAAATTCAATATTTTTTTTAAAATATACATATATACACAATTCTAAGAAGTATTGATATTAGCTAATATTGTATAACTAAAATATTATCAAACATCAAAATGAAATCTGACTCTGTATGGTATGCAAAATTATTGATGTCTTCTGTCCCTATATAATATGCTTATTTAACATTAATTGCTTCATCATAAAATTTTTTTTCTGAAATGTAAACAGTGTTGCTTGTACGTATACAAATACATATCACAATTTTACTTTATAAATCAAAGCTGTCATTAACGACTGCTATTGATTCAAAGAATGTTCGGGAAAAACAAAAATAATAAATAACAAAAAATTAGCCAATATTTTTTTTTTTTTCAAATTTTTATTTAATTTTGCAAAAAAAAGAAATACCGCAAAATATTATGCAAATTTTTGCAAAAAAAAATTATATATACATATGTATATATTTCTGTCTAAAAATGTACACCTATTTTTTAAAAGAGTATTCATGTTATGTACGAAATTTGTATTTAAAATTAAGAAAAAAAAATCGAAATAAAATTTTCTGATTATTAAACAACTATTAAAAAAAAAAACGATAAACTTGCTTATTGTACCTGTTATGAATATAAGCGTATAAAGGTAAATCTTATTTAATAACACTTCAAATAAAGAAATATTATGACATTTATACCGTTGTTTTTATATTGATGACACTTTTTTAGAATCAGAAAAAAATTTTAAAGTGATTCATTTGAAATTATTCTTTAAAATTCATTTTTACGATAT